TTTAAACTGCACTTTTGTAAGTCAGTTTATAGCAAGCTTTCCAAAGATTTTTTTCCTCCTAAACACAAACATACATGCTAAAGGAAAACTATACTGGTTTTTATGTTGCTATAAGAATGCAATTTTTGCTATATAAACATTTAATACACGACAATGGATTACAAGAACATTATGGATTAGATACAGCAAATACTCTCTCTTCACAGACACAGCTGTCTCACTAAAACCTTATACAAAAATGGTTCAGAAAGGGGTTAGGTGGCAGTTTATGAAACTGAGATCAGCAGAGATCCTGACGATCGCAGCGGATTTCAGTACATTAGTGGTTTGTGAAACAGATGATCAGCAGAGAACATGTTCTCTGCTGATCTCTACACACAGAGAACCTGCAATTGACAGACACATAAACGGCTAGTTTTTGAAGGAGCGAGATCAGTCTTTCACTGGCGATCTGTGTGAAAATTCTGAGGAGGACGTTTTTGAACTTTCTTCTTCCTTTAGAGCCTCCAAGACAGCAGGAAAACCCCCCTGCCTTTCACAACACCCTCAAAAACCCTAGAGCAGTTTATAAATACACATACACACATATTATAGAATTTATTTTTTTTAATTATTGTGTACGTATGTACTGAAGAGAGCAGCCACCTCAGCAGAGGCAATTTACCACTGCTTAATAAATTGCAGATCTCGTCAGATTACAGCAACAACAGCCGGTTTCCAGAGTTCAAAGCGTTTGTAGATCGCTTCTTCCCTCATCAGGAGAAGCAATCTACACTGCTTCATAAACTGGCATTCTCAGAGGAGACAGCTCTCCTCAGAGTGCCTGAGAACATAGCAGAGGTTATTTACCACTGCTTGATAAATGTACATTTTAGTCACTATTTCCTCATGTGCATGCATGTGTTTTAAAATTTCATCTTGAGCTACTGAGTTTTGTAAACCTGTCTTTTTTTTTTTTTATTTATCTTCTTTGCTAGAGGAGAAAAACAAAAAACACACAAGAAAGAAGTAGAGAAAAACACCAACATGCCTGCAACAATATATAGGATTCATACACAATACTTAATTACCAGTATGGACAAAAACATCAAATACTGTATGCACATGGTACAGTTACCAATAGTAATCTGCTGAAGTGTCTTGTGTTGACGGAAGTTTGAATAGTTGTTTGTATTCTGTATATTACTTTTTTCTTTTTTTTTTTTTTTTTTAAACAAATTCTCCATCATTCTTCATGAATAAATCCAACAATGGACAGTGTTCACAAGAAAAAAAAAGAATTATAACCTTACCTTATCTTGTGCATAGCAATTTTACAAACCGTAGAACAACCCAAACAAGCACAAATTTGCAGGCTGTACGTGGGTGTGAGGAAGAGAATGACACATTATTGCATAAATAAACCTGTCTGACCGTCACAAACTGCAGCCACACCTTACCTGCAGAACAATTTAGGTGCTAAACCTTCTATTCATTAAAATATTTCTAGGTAACCATACGTCAAAGAAAAAAAAACAAAAAAACACTAAAACACAAATGTCAAAGCTTTTAGCTTAAACATTTGGGCAGAAACGTCTCTATAACAAGAGATTCTATTGATTAAAAGATTGCTTGTGTTAACTGGGCTGTCTGGAGGTGATAATGAATGCACCTGGTTTTCAAGGATATTACGGGTTAGGATATTTTTTGACCTTTTGAAAAATCTCCATTCCATGTACAGTATCTCACAGGAGTACACCCCTCACATTTTTGTAAATATATTATATCTTTTCATGTGACAACACTGAAGAAATGACACTTTGCTACAATGTAAAGTAGTGAGTGTATAGCTTGTCCCCTCAATTTGCTGCCCCATCAAAATAACACACAGCCATCCATGTCTAAACCGCTGGCAACAAAAGTGAGTACACCCCCAAGTGAAAATGTCCAAACTGGGCCAAATTAGCCATTTCCCCTCACCGGTGTCATGTGACTTATTAGTGTTACAAGGTCTCAGATGTGAATGGGGAGTAGGGGTGTTAAATTTGGTGTTATTGCTCTTACTCTCTCATATTGGTCACTGGAAGTTCAACATGGCACCTCATGGCAAAGAACTCTTTGAGAATCTAAAAAAAAAAAAAGAATTGTTGCTCTACATAAAGATGGCCTAGGCTATAAGAAGATTGCCAAGACCCTGAATCTGAGTTGCAGCACTCCTACGTCTATTTCCCAAAGACAACCCCTGGATATGACGCTGAGCACGTTCACTCAACTTCTTTGGTCGACCATGACAAGGCCTGTTCTGAGTGGAACCTGTCTCGTACAGTGGTTTAACAGGACAGGTTCCACTCAGAACAGGCCTTGCCATGGTTGACCAAAGAAGTTGAGTGAACGTGCTCAGCGTCATATCCAGAGGTTGTCTTTGGGAAATAGACGTACGAGTGCTGCCAGCATTGCTGCAGAGGTTGAAGGGGTGGGGGGGGGGGGGGTCAGCCTGTCAGTGCTTAGACCGTACGCTGCACACTGCATTAAATTGGTCTGCATGGCTGTTATCCCAGAAGGAAGCCTCTTCTAAAGATGATGCACAAGAAAGCCTGCAATCAGTTTGTTGAAGACAAGCAGACTAAGGACATGGATTACTGGAACCATATCCTGGTGTCTGATGAGACCAAGATAAATTTATTTGGTTCAGATGGTGTCAAGCGTGTGTGGCGGCAACAAGGTGAGGAGTACAAAGACAAGTGTGTCTTGCGTACAGTCAAGAATGGTGGTGGAAGTGTCAGTCTGGGGCTGCATGAGTGCTGCCGGCACTGGTGAGCTACAGTTCATTGAGGGAACTATATATGCCAACATGTACTGTGATATACTGAAGCACAGCATGATCCCCTCCCTTCGGAGACTGGGTCGCAGGGCAGTATTCCAACATGATAATGACCCCAAATACACTTCCAAGATGATCATTGCCTTGCTAAAGAAGCTGAGGGTAAAGGTGATGGACTAGCCAAGCATGTCGCCAGACCTAAACCCTATTGAGCATCTGTGGGGCATTCTCAAAATAGAAGGTGGAAGAGCGCAAAGGTCTCTAACATCCACCAGCTCCATGATATCGTCATGGAGGAGTAGAAGAGGACTCCAGTGGCAAACTGTGAAGCTCTGGTGAACTCCATGCCCAAGAGGGTTAAAGGCAGTGCTGGAAAATAATGATGGCCACACAAAATATTGACACTTTGGGCCCAATTTTGACATTCACTTAGGGGTGTACTCACTTTTGTTGCCAGCGGTTTAGACATTATTGGCTGTTGTCACAATATACAGCCAGGTCCATAAATATTGGGACATCGACACAATTCTAACATTTTTGGCTCTATACACCGCCACAATGGATTTGAAATGAAACAAACAAGATGTGCTTTAACTGCAGACTGTCAGCTTTAATTTGAGGGTATTTACATCCAAATCAGATGAACGGTGTAGGAATTACAACAGTTTGCATACGTGCCTCCCACTTGTTAAGGGACCAAAAGTAATGGGACAATTGGCTTCTCAGCTGTTCCATGGCCAGGTGTGTGTTATTCCCTCATTATCCCAATTACAATGAGCAGATAAAAGGTCCAGAGTTCATTTCAAGTGTGCTATTTGCATTTGGAATCTGTTGCTGTCAACTCTCAAGATGAGATCCAAAGAGCTGTCACTATCTGTGAAGCAAGCCATCATTAGGCTGAAAAAACAAAACAAACCCATCAGAGAGATGGCAAAAACATTAGGCGTGGCCAAAACAACTGTTTGGAACATTCTTAAAAAGAAGGAACGCATCGGTGAGCTCAGCAACACCAAAAGACCCGGACGACCACGGAAAACAACTGTGGTGGATGACCGAAGAATTCTTACCCTGGTGAAGAAAACACCCTTCACAACAGTTGGCCAGATCAAGAACACTCTCCAGGAGGTAGCTGTATGTGTGTCAAAGTCAACAATCAAGAGAAGAAGACTTCACCAGAGTGAATACAGAGGGTTCACCACAAGATGGAAACCATTGGTGAGCCTCAAAAACAGGAAGGCCAGATTAGAGTTTGCCAAACGACATCTAAAAAAGCCTTCAAAGTTCTGGAACAACATCCTATGGACAGATGAGACCAAGGTCAACTTGTACCAGAGTGATGGGAAGAGAAGAGTATGGAGAAGGAAAGGAACAGCTCATGATCCTAAGCATACCACCTCATCAGTGAAGCATGGTGGTGGTAGTATCATGGTGTGGGCATCTATGGCTGCCAATGGAACTGGTTTTCTTGTATTTACTGATGATGTGACTGCTGACAAAAGCAGCAGGATGAATTCTGAAGTGTTTCGGGCAATATTATCTGCTCATATTCAGCCAAATGCTTCACAACTCATTGGACGCCGTTTCATAGTGCAGATGGACAATGACCCAAAGCATACTGCAAAAGCAACCAAAGAGTTTTTTTAAGGGAAAGTGGAATGTTATGCAATGACCAAGTCAATCACCTGACCTGAATCCGATTGAACATGCATATCACTTGCTGAAGACAAAACTGAAGGGAAAATGCCCCAAGAACAAGCAGGAACTGAAGACAGTTGCAGTAGAGGCCTGGCAGAGCATCACCAGGGATGAAACCCAGCGTCTGGTAATGTCTATGCATTCCAGACTTCAGGCTGTAATTCACTGCAAAGGATTTGCAACCAAGTATTAAAAAGTGAAAGTTTGATTTATGATTATTATTCTGTCCCATTACTTTTGGTCCCTTAAAAAGTAGGAGGCACATATGCAAACTGTTGTAATTCCTACACCGTTCACCTGATTTGGATGTAAATACCCTCAAATTAAAGCTGACAGTCTGCAGTTAAAGCACATCTTGCTCGTTTCATTTCAAATCCATTGTGGTGGTGTATAGTAGAGCCAAAAATGTTAGAATTGTGTCGATGTCCCAATATTTATGGACCCGACTGTAGGTGCTCTGCCAGCCCCCATTAAAAACTCATTAATCTCTTGTGCCCAGAGGAAGTACATCCTCGATTAGTGTTCTACTCCTGTGTGCCAAATGCTCCTAGCTGTAATTAATGCACCCCTTGCACCCGCATCCTGCCAAAAGGTCCCCCAAATTCAATTAATGTATTCTCCCCACTGTCATTCTGTTGTACAGCAACAAATTCAATTACTGTATTTCCTTTGCTGTACATCCCTGTCTTGTGCCCAAATGTAGTACCATCCCTAATTAAGGCCTTAATTTTTGTGCCAAAGGAAGTGCTTCCCATCTCCAATGCAATTAGCCTTTCTTGCCAAATGTTCCCTAATTCAAATCAAGGCATCCCCTCCATTGTCATCCAAATGTCCCCAAACTCGATCAAGGCATCTCCTCCATTGTCATCCAAAATGTCCCCCAACTCAATCAAGGCATTCCCTCCATTATCATCCTGCTAATGACCCCCCCCCCTCCACCTCTCGTTCTGCCCCGGTTTAAGAGGTCAGTGCTGGGCTCTTCCCAGGCATCCACTCTGCTGTGCAGCCACTGAGGGATCCCAGCTGCAGCGGGACTCTAGTGGCCAGACTCTGCCTAAGCCCCATTGGAGTAAGGGGGACCCCAGAAGCTACATCAGCCCTGCCTGAGACGCTGTCAGCTCTGCCTGAGGCTACCACATCAGCTCTGCCTGAGACTACCAAATCAGTTCTGCGTGAGTGTATGCTTCCCCTGTGTTATCTGAACTGTTTATGAACTGCCTCCTACCTCCCTGTTGGATAACAAACTGCTATAGAGACTTTACCTTTGCCAACCGGCGCTGCATTACAAGTATTTTGGGCTCTCTCTCTCTCTGCACTACTCCCCATTGAGTGACGGTTGTCTGTTTTAATCAATCTTTAAGTGTTTGCCGTCTGCTTTGTGTGTTCTGTCCTGCCTACCCTCCGTCACAGCTGCATGTTGAGTTATTTTGAGAGGACAGCAAATTTACACTGTTATACAAGCTGTACACTCACTACTTTACATTGTAGCAAAGTGTCATTTCTTTAGAGTTGTCACATGAAAAGGTATAATAAAATATTTACAAAAATGTGAGGGGTGGACTCATTTCTATGAGATACTGTATGTGCTCATTCAAAGATGGGCAGGTTATTTTATCACTCCTTCTTTGGAAGAGATCTGCCCATCTATATCTGCCTTGTATCTACAGCCTAAAAAGACCAGCCACACCACCCAAGCCCTGAGGAGGCCCTTAGCCTCTCTAATGCTTACCAATGTTAAAAGTTGGCCCTTTATAGTCACTGCAGAATTCACAGACAAAAAAATGACAGTACACTAAATGCATCCATTACCTCCCACTAAGAACACTATTATTTATTCAGGGAATACAATAGATGTGTCCAGAATGCAAACCATCACAAAAACACAAAAAAAAAAAAAGGTAGGGATAGAAGTCCACTGACAACTTAAGATATTTTTTAAGTTTAGCTTTACTCTGACATCTCTTTAAGGGAGTGTCCCTATTTATTCAATTGTGGAACTGAGCCTTCATGGAAATACCTTTTTTTGGTCCAGAATAGACCTGCTATTTCTTTCAGGGTAAAGCTAAAAATTTTTAAAAAAAGGTAACTTTACATAGCAAAGTAGGAAAAAACAAAAAAAAGTTATTGCTCTGTGTAAACCAAAATGAATACAGTTACCATAGGTTTTCAAAGCCATGTATATGCTTTCAGTTTCCTCTAACATTTATATATAGCCTCTAAAAACACAAAAGTAAAGCTGAAAACGAGCATCTTTAATACTGGATACTTGTCCCTACTCCAACTGTACCCAAAGTATTCAACATAACACACATACTATGCCTACTCTTAACTGTAGGCACATGCATCTGTGAAGCTATTGTCGTTTAATTTGTCCCTACCTTGTTCTTTACAAAAACTTCAATATAAACTAATTGAAAATAAAAGTAAAGCTAAAGAACCACTACTGTCACATTTAAATGAAACTTTAAAAAAAAAAATCTTAAAAAATAAGAAGCTAAATAGCTTTAATCTTAACAGTGGGTATATTCAGTTCTTGCCGCACACAAACAACCCAAGCTCCCATTCACACCCAAGAATTTTGTCACGATTCCCAAAGAACGAGAGTGCGTTATTCTCAATGGGTCTGTTTGCGCCTAACACACCTGTTGCTAGGGAGCTCCTGTGAGCTCTTTTGGGACAGAACCACATGTTTTTGGTTCTTTTGACTAACTTTGAAAAATGCTTGAAATCCCTGTGTTCACATGCATATTTCAAGATCTTTTATTAAAAGTCTATGGGGCCATAAACATGTTTTTTCTCCTGTACCACAAGTTGTACTGACAAATGCTTCAAAAACACCTTTATATCACCTAGGCCAGGGGTCTGCAACCTTTAAGACATAAAGAGCCACTTGGACCAGTTTTTCCGAGAGGGAAAAAAAACGACTGGGAGCCGCAAAACCATTGCAACATTTAAAACAAATCCAACACTGCATATATTGCAAAAAGCGCTCTGGTCATGAAGGGGGTTTAAGGGCCCAGTAAGCAAAGGGTTAATCAGGGCCACAGTGTATCGTCATAATCACAATCATAGCCTTAGGTCAGTGGTGGGCAACCTTTTTTTTCAACTGAGCCAAATCTCGCCAAAACCACGATTGAAATTTATTTTGAGAGCCACATTTTTAAAACTAAAAATACGTCCTCCATATAGTAATTCATCCCCCATATAGTAATTCATCCCCCATATAGTAATTCATCCCCCATATAGTAATTCATCCCCCATATAGCATTCATCCCCCATATAGCAATTCATCCCCCATATAGCAATTCATTCCCCATATTAAGTCCCCAAGTCCCCCCTGTGTCAATTCACTTACCTTTGCTCCGCGCGTTCCTCTCGCCGTGTTCCCGCGCCGTTCCGGTGTAGCATGAAAATCTGTCTCCTATGAGGATCTGTCCCCCTCGACGTATCTGCGCATGTACCAGTTTCAGGCATTAGCAGCCGATCGGCGATCTCCGGCACATGCGCAGATACGTTGAGGGGGACAGATCCTCATAGGAGACAGATTTTCATGCTACACCGGTCTTCAGGGCGGACTGTGGGAGGAGCCTAGCGGGAGCCTAGCTCTGCGGGCCGGATTAAAAGGTCTGCCGGGCCGTATACGGCCCACGGGCTGTAGTTTGCCCATTGCTGCCCTATTGCCTGTCACCTGGTGGGCAGTGTGCTCCGGAGCCGCAGCCAAGGTGAAAAAGAGCCGCATGCGGCTCTGGAGCCGCGGGTTGCCGACACCCGACCTAGGCTATGCTTACTGCACATCTGAATGGGGGCTCAAACCCCACTTTTTGTAATACTATTACCAATCTGCTTGCTTCCCGGCCATATCCCAGTCAACTTCTTGTGCACTTCTGGTCAATTACTGATGGGTGGCCTTGCATTCCAACAGCAATACACTCAACTATTTGCAGATCACTGATGGGTACCCTTGCTAACATGACACAGATGAGGACCGTGGCCACAGCACGAAGTAAAAAAAAAAAAAAAAAATCAAATTTATCCTTCTTGTGGGTGCCTGATCACTGCATGATCTGTGTATAGTATGGTATACAGTTGTGTTCAAAATAATAGCAGTGTGTTGAAAAAAGTGAATAAAGCTCAAAATCCTAATAGCTTTTATTTTCATACACACAAATGCATTGGGAACACTACACATTCTATTCCAAATCAAAACATGAAGAAAAATCTATCATATTTGTGTTGTTCCTCTAAAATAATTGAAGAAAAGTGAATATTAGACCGTTCAAAAAAATAGCAGTGTTTGTATTCTTCTTTACAAACTCAAACATTCACTATATAAACTGAAAAATGTTTGAAGATTTTGCTTTCCTTTGAATCACTTCATTAATATTTAGTTGTATAAGCACTGTTTTTGAAAACTGCTGTACATCTGTATTGCATGGAGTCAACCAACTTCTGGCACCTGTGAACAGGTATTCCAGCCCAGGATGATTGGACTACATTCCACAGTTCTTCTCTATTTCTTGGTTTTGCCTCAGAAACTGCATTTTTGATGTCACCCACAAGTTTTCTATTGGATTAGGATCCGGGGATTGGGCTGGCCACTCCATAACGTCAATCTTGTTGGTCTGGAACCAAAATGTTGCACGTTTACTGGTGTGTTTGGGGTCATTGTCTTGTTGGAACACCCATTTCAAGGGCATTTCCTCTTCAGCATAAGGCAGCATGACCTCTTCAAGTATTCTGATGTATTCAAACTGATCCATGATATGCGATAAATAGGCCCAACACCGTAGTATGAGAAACATTCCCATATCATGATGCTTGCGCCACCATGCTTCACTGTCTTCACAGTGTACTGTGGCTTGAATTCAGTGTTTGGGGGTCGTCTGACTAACTGTCTCCGGCCACTAGACCCAAAAAGAACAACCTTACTTTCCTCAGTCCACAAAATGTTGCGCCATTTCTCTTTAGGCCAGTCAATGTGCTTTTTGGCAAATTGTAACCTCTTCAGCACGTCTTTTTTTCAACAGTGGGACTTTGCGGGGGCTTCTTGCAGATAGCTTGGCTTCACATAGGCGTCTTATAATTGTAACAGTACTCACAGGTAACTTTAGACCTTCTTTGATCTTCCTGGAGCTGACTGTTGGCTGAGTCCTTGCCATTTTGGCTATTCTTCTATCCATTCGAATGGTAGTTTTGCGCTTTCTTCCACGTCTTTCAGGTTTTGGTTGCCATTTTAAAGCATTTGTGATCATTTTAGCTGAGCAGCCTATCATTTTCTGCACTTCTTTATATGTTTTTCCCTCTCCAATCAACTTTTTAATCAAGGTACGATGTTCTTCTGAACAATGTCTGGAACGACCCATTTTCCTCACAATTTCAGAGAGAAATGCACTGTAACCAGCATGTACAACATTTGCTGCCTTCCTTAAATAAGGGCAATAATTGCCACCTGTTTTTCAAAGAATGAATGACCTCACTAATAGAACTCCACATTGCTATTAATTTTGAACATGCCCCTTTCAATTAGTGATTCAATTACACAGAATCAGCAGCATGCATGTCATGACTGTTGGATTTCTATTACTCTACTACGCCTGCTAGTAAATTATTTGCCATGTAGAAATATCATTTCTACCAAAAACAGTGATTGATCAGGTTAGTGATGTCTGACTGCTATTATTTTGAGCACAACTGTATGTAAATGACACAAAGCATGAGCTTAGGTTCATTTCAATCCTAGCCATTAACAAAATTTCTAGAGATTGAACATTTTTAAATTGCAAAAGCAAGTTAAAGGAACAAAGTAACCTACCATTAAAAGTTTAAATATTCATATTGCAGGATAATGGTTAACTTTGCCTTGATCCTGTCAAGCGCTTTTGCAATCTAAAGCTGGATAGAAGTTGTTAAAATTGCAA